ACCTGGATCCCCTGGAAGATTAGCCAGTGCTCTTGACAGTTTTCCCTCTCTGCTGGCCCATGACAGTGTGGCCATCGACTGCTTAACTGTGTGCTCTTTCCTGGCATTCCCCTCAAGGTCAGTACTACAAAGGCTTGCCAACACATTGCAAATGACATGGCATTGTCTCCCACTTCCCATTTCTTTAATTAGTGATGAGATTAAGCATTTCTTTATAAACATATTGTCAATTCTGGTTTCTGCCTTTGTGACTTCTTTGGTATTTATTTTACCCATTTTCCGTGTCTGTTCTTTGCGATTTTTGTGTATTCTGTTATTTTGTATAGACCATAGACCTACAGTAACTTGTTCCAAAAGTGGGAGAGATCTTTTTTCATTTTGCTTATGATAGCTTTTGATGCCTAAAAGGTTTTATTTTAATGAGCTAAATGGTCAATTTTTCCCTGCATATTTCTTCACTGCTGTTCTTTATGCTGTCCTTTGTGTTTTGTATAGTAATCTCCTGAATTTAATTGGCTCACCCACATGGTTTTTACTTCTGAGATAGTTTTGTGTAAGACAAAAATAAGTTTCTTGAAGCTGTGTTGAATGCCATCCATAACACTGCTACTCTTTTTGAGAGAAAGAGCTCGGGTGTGAAACTTCAGCCATTTTTTTCCTTCCACCTCCTTCTCTCTCCCTCTTCTTTTTCTTCTATGTGGACTTTATTGGTTTGTTTTGGTTTACTGTTTCTCCAATGCTTAGAAATGATATTTTAAAGAAAATTATTTGTTAGTATAAACTAATTCAAATATCTTTAATGATTTTGACATTTTCTTTCTGTGGTTGCGTTCTTTTTACTTCAGTGTTGTTTTAAGGTCTTGCTTTCTGAAGGCCACCTTTCATCTATTAGAACTCCTCTGTGCTTCCGTTTCTCACATGGCCTCTTCGTCCATGCTCCTTCTCTGTGGCCTTTCACAGTGTGCTTTCTGGGCACTTTATTTAGTTTCTTAATTTAAATGCTTAATTATTAGAATTGATGTGGATAAAAAAATTTTAAAATAATATTTTTATTTTGGGAATTTTTCATATATTTATACAATGCATTTTAGCCGTTAACTGATGAGCATCATTTAAACGTAAGTACTATTTCGACTGCATTGCACAAGGGTTTAGATTCTGTGATTCTTTTCTAATCTTCTTTTAATCTGTGTATATTAAAATGCCCAGATTTTTGGTTTCCAGGTATGTGTTCCTTAGCGTTTGGTGCTTGTTCAAATGGAAATGATCTGTTTGGAAGGGTCAGGAGCTGTGGCTTTGTTGGAGGAGGTGTGTCATTGGGTAGATATTCCCAGTCTTTCTCTCCTTTGCCTCCAGCTTGGGGATCAAGATGTGAGCTCTCAGCTGCTCACTGTGTGTGCCATGCCTGTGTGTACCATCAAGGATTTTAGCCCTCTGAAACTCTAAGCCCCAAACTAAATGCTTTATTTTAGTCATGGTTACTTTATTACATCAATAAAAAGTAAGATAATACTATAATTTAGCATTGTTGATTTGGAGCTTAATTATCCTGTGGTAATAAAATTTGGCCCATATACTATAGACTAATTGAAATTTGTCAGGGCATTTCTTATTTTACTGTATCAATGGTTCAACCTCTCCCTTCTTCCCTCTCCTCATATCATTGGTTTTTAATCATTATATACATATATAAGATATGCATTCTTTTTTAAGCAGATTATCTGTATGTTTGCACTTATGTCTGTAGTGTGTGTTAGTGTACACTGTATACCAAGGAGAAGAGGTCTAGTGTTGGATCCATGTAGCTGGAGTCACAGGCAGTTGTGAGCCACCTGATGGGGATGGTGGGAAGAACAGTACATGCCCTTAACTGTTGATCCATCGTGTCAGCCTCAAGATAAATATTCTTTAATTGGGGTGCTATAAAGTGTCTCTCTATATTTATACATAATAAATACAATTAGTTTAGGGTCAAACATTCAGTATTCCTACTACTTAAAACTCTGTCATATCTATGACACTGTAAGAAACAGCATACTACGCAGATCATTGGTTTCTTTTAAATTCTCTTGTGATTTGTTTAACTACTGCAATACCTTGTTTACTCAGGGTTCAAAATAATGAGTTCAGGCTTCCTTGCTCCCAGGTTTGTGCATATACTGATTAACTCACTCATTTGTGTATCCATTTTGTCAGCAAATATTTACAGAATTTATGGTGGACTGCACTGAATTATGTAACACACACACACACACACACACACACACACACACACACACACACACACACACACCACTTTAAGTCTTGAGTTTCAGGGAACTTCTTCAGTAGAGGAAACAGTTCTTGGCAAACATCAATCAGTGTCAGGAGTGCAGCAAGTGATGTCCAGATGGATAAAGCAGGCAAGGGAGAGGGAACAGGTGGGGTGAGGTATGGGAGATGCTCATGTGCAGGGCGGTTAGGAGGCCAGGTATGGAAAGGCTGAAGCAATTCAAGGAGATGGACTCTCTCTCTCCCTCTCCCTCTCCCTGTCCCTCTGCCTCTCCCTCTGCCTCTGCCTCTCCCTGTCCCTCTGCCTCTCCCTCTGCCTCTCCCTCTCCCTCTCCCTCCCTCCCTCTCTTTCTCTCTCTCTCTCCCTCCCTCCCTCCCTCCCTCCCCCCCTCTCTGTGGTTGGAGAAGTCATTCCAATCAGGTACTAAGGAAAAGGCTCCAAGATGGAGCATGCAGTACTGAGAGAATACACAGAGAGGGTCTGGAGAAAGGCAAGGTCAAGATGAAAAAATGTGACTTTTATTTTGAAAGGCTGTCTCTTTGGGATGTGTGGGATCTAGCTGTGATGAGACAGGAGGGGACAAGAGGAGCAGGGAGTTGGCTAACATGAGTTTGTGTCAGAAACGTGGTGATGGTTTGTCCTGTAGCAACAACAATCGGTGAGAGGCTTCGAAACGCGCAGCAGTCCCCTCACATGTGACTTCACGTTCAGTGCTTTTCGTTATCCACAGTCCACCATCGTTCAAACACAGGAAATGGAAATACCCAGAAACAAGGGCGTTGGGAACTAGCTCAGGAAATAGAGTGCTCTGCTAGCATTCATGATTGCCCGGATTTTACCCTAGCTGTCTTACTTAGGGTTTTTATTGCTATGAGGAGACACTACGACCCTGACAACTCTTACAAAGTGAAACATTTAATCGATGGGGCTCGCTCACAGTTTCAGAGGTTCAGTCCGTTATTGTCATGGTGGGGAGCATGGAGGCGTTGCAGACAGATGTGGTGCTGGCTACATTTTGACCAGAAGGCAGCAGGAAGTTGACTGAGACACTGGGTGGTATCCTGGCATAGGAAACCTAAAGCCTGACCCCACAGTGACATACTTCCTCTAAGAAGGCCACACCCACTCCAACAAAGCCACACCTCCTAATAGTGCCACTCCCTATGAGCTTATGGGGAGCAAATTGCATTCAAACTACCATACCAGCTCTGCATAAAACTGGGCATTGCAGCTCATGCCTTTAATCCTAGCATTTGTGGGGAAGAGACAGACAGATCTCTATGAGTTCAAGTCCAGCTTGGCTTGCATAGCAAATCCCAGGACAGCTACAACTAACAAACAGAACAAACAAGGCTATGGTGGTTTGAATAAGAATGGCTCCCACCAGCTCACAGATTTGAACACTTGGTCACCAGGGAGTGGCACTATTAGGAGGTGTGGCTTTGTTGGAGGAGGTGTGGCCTTGTTGAAGGAAGTGTGTCACTAGGGCTAGGCTTTGAGGTTTCAAAAGTCCAAGTCAGGCCCAGGGGCTCTCTCTCTTCCTGCCCCTGTAGATCTAGATATAGAACTCTCAGTCCCTTTCCAGAACTATGTTTTTCTGCATGCCGCCATGCTTCCCGCTGTGCTGATGATGGACTAAACCTCTGAACTGTAAGTGAGTCCCAATTAAATACTTTTTTTTTTGTGCCATGGTCACCTCAAATAGAACACTGACTAAGACAATGACCTAACAAAACAAACCAAAGAAAGTTCCAGAGGTGGTTCATAGATGCCTTTTATCACTGTACCCATTTTATTGTTTTCCCTCCACAGCTACTTCCTGTGCCCATGTGCTCTGCCTTGCATCACAGGAGACATCTATTACTTCCACGACCTGCCCCCACCACCTTGTCTGCATCTCGCAGTTCTAAGATGGAGAAGAGAAGGTGCCAGAAGCATGAGCCTTCCAGCTGCCCAGCATTTCGAGCTGGGGAAAGATGGAGCTGTCGGTGACCAAGGAGGAGGAGGAGGAGGAGGAGAAATTACACCCACTTGTCTATTAGTAGCACAGTTGTTATGAAGGCAGTCAACCCATCTTGAATGCAG